GGTGAAGATACTTTCTCTTTTTCTTTCCTTCACCATGCTGTTGAGTGCTTTCTCTGCTATTGTGTCCCACTAAAAGACTCATTACTGTTCTTCCCTTTCTGCGGAAAGTGCTGTGTCTATGAATGAAGGGCTGACAGATGAGATAGAGAGAGAGAAAGAGAGAACAGAAGAAGAGATATTGTCCATGTCAATGAAAGCAAATTTCTCTCTTACTAAAACCTTGGTCTTGTTCATTGAATGAAATGGCAAAAACACCAAGGCCTATTAATGAATGTGTCACATCGCACAAAGGATTGAGAGAGAAGGTGGAAAAAATGAGAGAGACAGGAAAAGTCAGGTTAAAAAACAAACAGAAAGCAAAACAAAATGTAGGGGACAGACAAGAGCTAAAAATGACAGTATGCTACTACTGTTAAGGAGGATGCATCTTCCATACCTCCTAATTCATATTCAGTCACTGGAAAGGGAGCTGGCACTGGCAGGGAAACAGGTTGCCAGTTCATTACAACAAACACATTCATACCTAGTGGCAGATTATATCCTTTAGTTCATCTGACTTTCGTGTTTCTGGGGTTTGGGAGGACCTAAGGTACCTTGGTCTTTGTGGAAAAGGAGGAATGTTATCTAGTCCAAGTGTGTTATATTGTAGCATTTATGTTACCATAGTTTGTTACTTTCACCAATGACAAGAAAAAACTTGACTTAAAAGTGGTGGTACAGCAGCTGGACAATAGTTTAGACAATACAACCAAAACCACCAACCAATATATGATTTAATAAATGAAGACCTTCATGTTGGGTTTGGCTCCTCTGTTTCACAAATTTGGCTTTAAAGAAAAATATCCTCTGCAGAATTCAGCACAGCATTCTCGGGCAAAGTGCAGTGCGCCATTAGATCACTAGACATCCATCCTATACCTGTCTATATATTCACACATCCATGCATCTATTCATCTGCTCATCCATCAGTTGTGTGCATCTAAGCCATTATATCTCACATCCATGCACCCTTATCTATCTGTCCACTTTCAGGTCCATCCATCCACAGCCGTCCACCCAAGCTTTCACACACCACTCCTCTAGAAATCCATCAATCTATCTATCTGGCCATATTGCTTAATTTCTGCACACGTAAGTATGGACGCTGGCTGGTATGCAATCATCTTTCTCTCTCCACCATCTCTCAAATGATAGATCTCTCACTTTGTTCCTCTTTCTACAAATGGACATTACAGACCTTAGTGGGTTCCTCTGCCTATCCAATCACCCACTTATCTGCCACTCTTTCTTTTTATCATTTTCTTTTACAACGCTCCTCTGCATCTTAGATGAAGCAACAAAGCTCTGACTCCATTCGTCTATCAGCTACACAGCTATCATTGACCTCATCACACAATTTCTCTCCTCCTGTTCCTTTATTCTTCTGTTTTTCTCTCACTCTCTGCCAAAAGCCTGTAATTATAGACTCCTCTGCAAGACATGGGGGTGAGCATCTATCTGCCTTTTCCTAATCACTCATTCAGCCACACACACACACACACACACACACACACAGCTCAGTGTGTGGTGGATTCACGCAGAGGCTCATAGAAAATAGATGGTCTTCAAATATGTATAGGGTAACCACCAGTGTGTGGGTGCACAAGTGCATATCCTTGGATGTTTGTATACACCTGTTCACGATATAATAATAATAATAATAAAAAGAACAACAATTATGAATACATATACTGGACACATGGCTGTGATGACATCACATATATAAGAGCTATACTGTAACTGTATTCTGTTGTGTTTCAGAATCATTAGGTCACTTATCAATTAGCGCTGTGCTCCAGTGCTACTCTGCTGTCATTAAGAGCTGACAATACAGGTTATAAGGACTATGGATTATAGATCCTCAGCAGCATCATTGGAGATCCCTTAAAATAACAATGTTAATTGCCAATATGCTGTGGACTGCAGATACAAGCTTTGGCGAATTTTTGCAGTTTTCCAGATTCACCACTGTATTACAACATAAACTGATCTGCAACTCAACCTCTATGTCTGTCTCTCTGTCTGCTTGAATTTGTTTTTCACTCCATCTGTGTGCCTCCATTTATTTGTCATTTCTGCTAATGCAGCATACATTACAAAGAGAGAGCACATGTAATTTCACTATTCTTTGTTGCTATGACTTCCTTTTGCTGGGGTTGCCAAACTTGTGGTAGTCTCAACCCACCGCTGACTTTACTCACATACAAATAGCCATAGTAACCTCAAAGCACCGGGCATGTTCACAAAGGGTGTAAAACAGACCCAAACTAATAACGTGTCTAATTCAGCTAAAATAAGTGATTATTTTCTTCTGTGAATCTCTAGATCCCTACATAAACTGGAAAAACTGGAGGGTAGAGATGATGACTTTAGTCTACTGTCCTCGGAAAAAATTCTCCTGAGACAAATTTTGAGTAGACCGTAACACCAGTAACAAAGCGTCATGAAATATCTGGACAAAGGTATTAACAGTATAAAGATCAGACGAAGTGTATGAAGTCTGTAAGTGTGCATAATAGTATGAAGAGTGTGATGTGTGTGAATTAATCTATATGTATGTGTTGTTACATCAATCCAAGAAACATTAGGGCCTGGGTTTGTTGTATGAGAATGTCGAAGAATGCTGAAACAGTGTGAGTGTGGGGGAAAGTAAGAGGGGGAGAAACAAATGCAAGTGTGTGTGTTGGATGGGCTGCAGACTTTATGAGTCAACTAGTTTTACAAGGTCTAGTCCCCACTGCTGAACTTTTCATTGCTAAGTGACGTGTTGCTTGGCTTGCTGTGAAACCTTTCCCTTTTCTTTCTTTTTATCTCATTCTCTGCCACCCATTTCTCTCTCTCTGCTTGCTTTCCTCTTCATCATTGTCCCCCTCTCTCTCTCATGTCTCTGTCTGTTCCTTTCGTCCCCTCCCTTTCTGTCTGGCAGTAAAGGCTGATGGAGTGTGAAATTAGAAAGTGTATCATATTCTGCTCTGTGGCTCCATGTCCTGAGCTATAAGCTACAGCTAGTCAGAGTGAAAAATAACATGCAGTGAAACAGATACATTGACATGGTGTGTGTGTGTGTGTGTGTGTGTGTGTGTGTGTGTGTGTGTGTGTGTGTGTGTGTTTGTGTGTGTGTGAAGACAGAGGACAGTTTAGCCAGCCACAGCTTATCTTAAATTACTTATCTCACGCCTGGTACACTGGTGCTTTTCTACGAACTGCAAAAGCGAGCATGGATTAAAAATGTGGACACTCATACACACACACCTTATTCATTTTCTGACTGAACACTATTTGAATATCCTGTTGTAAACACCACTTTAATAGTTTTGATAATGAAAAAACACACAGTGAGAACTTGACAGATGTCATTACCTGAAAAAGAAGAGAGTACGCAATCACTTGAATACATGTAAATCTGGTGGACAGATGTACACTCATAAACATAGACCATGTAGCCAACTGATTCAGTTGCTAAATATAGCCTGCACCAAACGCTGCACTAATTTTATCAAGCCAAAATGACTTAATATTAGAGGTGTAAAAAAGTTATACAACAGTGAGACATATGGCTACATGGATACACAACCACAGATGCAAAAAAACATAAATCTGTGTGAAATTCAAATTGAATTGAGTAAGTGAGCTTGGACACTGACTCAAAGTTAAAGGAGCAGTGTGTAGGATTTAGTGGTATCTAGTGGTGAAGCTGCAGATTGCAACCAACTGAACACAGCTGGTGTCTGTATATGACAATGATGACAGTATATGGAAAGAGAATGGTCTGTGAAGTGTGAAGGAAAAACTAAGGTGGCAGCGAAACACAGGAAAAACACAAAAGGCCCTATCTAGAGACAGTGTTTGGATTCTACTGTAGGCATCTTTAGATAAAAATAGCTAAGATCACAAAAACTTTACAATTCTTATTTCCAGGTAATTCTACACTAATTAAAACATACCTATGAATAATATATTGCATTTCTGAAAATATAGCCTCCTGAATGTTACACACTGAATTTTTAAGTTACAGAGAATAACAACCAACCACAGGTGAAAAATGCTAGCTTTAGCAGCTAACACTTCTTCTAAAGCACCCTGGCCTCTAAAGCCTTAAGACAATACCTGAAGTCATACACTGTTTTATTCACAACAGTATGCGGCCATAGTGTTGCTGAAAATACCCTTTTCAGATATTTGACACCCATTTTGGAACCAAGGTAACAGATTCCCAATTCATCCTCCTTGGGGACAGGCCAACAATGCGATGTATATCGCTGCCCATCCTAACTATTGTTGGTTTCACAATACTTTAATACCAATAACAATTCAAATCAAAATGTATATTTCTTTTTTAAAACACAAAATGTATACAATGTTTACTATATTTCTTTCATGTAAAAATGTAATGTGTAGAGAATTGTTAATTTCCAGTTGAATCAAATTGAATCGAATGAACTTTAAACCACAATGTGTTGTATCTTTCGTCTTTCTATTGGATCATAGACCATGTATCCAGATACCTATTGAACTTTCTGAGAGGGATAAACACTCATCTCTACTGAATAAATGTATGGTATAGTGTAAATAAGAATTATGTATGTGTAAGTGTTTTTAACTTGTGTACCTTTCCTTTCTAGTCTCCATTTCATATACTTAACTTTATGTCATAATTTACAAATATTTATATTTATTCCTGACATTAAGTCTATATCCAGGTCATGTTTAATGTATGGTGTGTGATTCTTTTTGCTTTATGTTAGCCACCTAACAAACACTAAGGTGTATGCTACAGTTTACTATAATTAATATTACTTATTCTTTTCATGGTTCAGCAATGACTATGTTTACATACATGAAATCTATTTGTATCGCTGTGCATTTGCTTTGACGTCACTTTGATTTACAGTGCTGTGGAAATCAATTAGGGAAAAAAAAGATCTGTATGAATGTATGTATTTGCATGTATATGCGTTTACCTGCATCAGGCCAGACACCTCTCCCTTCTGAAGGGGCGCAGCAAGGGAGGGAGTGAAGGGCTTACTGTCTTCTACTGGTCGGCCTTTCAGGAAGTGTTTTCCTGCCTCGTAGATGTCCACCTCAATCATCTTCCCTTTGAACTCAGCCCTCTTAGGTACCAGCACCTGCAAACCAGAAGCAACACATCACAACTGATGTCGCAGCACATTTTAAGAGAACTGAAAAAGAACCACAATAAAGTATAATTTTTTTAACATTTGATTGTTTCACATTCATTGGAGGGAAAGTTATGAGGTGTATGATGTACAGGGCAACAGTAATGTATCATTTAGTGACTGCATTTTAGTGACCAGCAACATAAATCCTGCACCTTGCCATCATTCACGTCACATCATTAAGACCTATATAACCATCCATTCCACCAAATAACCAACATTGTGCATGTTTCTCCACAACTGCTTCTCAGAACTGTTTTAGCCAATGCTCCCCCACATTGTTATTTAGCTAGTCCCTGCCTGCTTACAAAAAACACAGGGCTGAGTGTTTTCAGTTCCATTTATGGAAGCCCTCAAGGTCAAAAACTACGGCAACAGCTGTGAGATAAACCAGTGGGATTTGCTGGTTTGTCATATTATTTCACCATGGCAACTATAAATCTCGGCTGATCACAGCAGGAAGGAAGAGAAAACAAAGAGTTATAATTACGGCTCAGTGTGAATAGAATTTGTTCTTAATGACTTACCCCTGTAAATAAAGATCATATGCAAATGCATTCTATTCAAAACTAACCACAAAGTTGACAGATTGTCAATGATGTATGCTGTTCGGTTAGAGTACTGATTTACTTTTCTTCAGCCTGTTCTTTCAGATTCAGCTCTGGCAAACACTGATAGAATGATTGGTTTTGTGATTATTGGTAGGATTTAAAACTGTGGTCATAAGAGCTTGTGTAAATTACAATCACTACTTAAGCAAGGGTTTTCTTTGTAAACATCCTATGATATGGTCTATTTCCTAAGTGAAAGAAAAAGGCTCCCTGTATACGAGTGATCGCCTTTGAATTTGAAAAGTGACATGAACACAGCTGAACATTTAATGGAAAACTATCTGATACTGCATGACAAATTCTTTGAGACAGTTACTACAAAACTACTAAAAGTTTAACGACACTGTGTACTAATTTAATAAAATAATGATTATAAAGATATATATCTTTTTCCTTGCCTCTTTTCACGGGCAGACAAGAGGCAAGGATCAACAGCAGAAAAATAACCTTGGACCTGCTGGAGATTCAATGTCTTGAACTTAGCATGAGTGCTGCGTGCTGACTCAGATCATCTGGTGGTCTTTCTAACCATTACAAGACTCTGCAGGGCTACTGACTGGGCAGAGAATAGCATGTGATGGCAGGAGTAAGGCTGGCTCAGTGTTAATCTGTCAGTCTTTATCCAGCTGGCTGAATATGATAGGAGATGGAGAACAGGCCAGACAGACACACAGCCAGCATCACACCTGCCTAATCAACACACCTGCTGCTCGACACTCTGACCACTGTGAGGGTGTGTGTGTGTGAGTAGCCAGCAACCAGGCAGGGAACAGAGAGGTAAAACAGCAAGACTGTGGGGGAGGTAGGGGTGTGTGTGTGTGTGTGTGGGTGAGGGTCATTCGAGGCCCATTACAAGGTGATTAAATGATGAAAGAGCTTGTCCAATTTCATTGGACCCCCGCCCCCCACTTCCTCACTCAGCCACTAACACACACACACACACAGAGACAGACAGACAGAGACAGACACACAGACACAGACACACACACACAGACACACACACACACACACACACACACACACACACACACACACACACACACACACAGAGGTGGGTTGGCTGCCTATTATACCCGTCAGGATAGATATCCATCTGATGGTGTAAAAGTGAAACTAGGCCATGTGTTCACTCACACCACCTCTCTCTACCTTATTTCCCATGTCCCTCCTTTTCTTCGCTCCCACTACTTCTTTCACTTCTTTCCTGACCCTTGACTTCCCCATTATTTCTCCCTCAAACACACAATCCCCCCAACTGAACTCTCTTCTCTCTCTACATTTTTTTCTTTTTTATTAAATCTTTGGGACATGATTATCCAGAGTGATCAAGAGTGAAGTTTAACCTTTAAGATTTAATTGTGACTACATTAAAACATCTAAACTAAATACTCTTTAATATGTTCTTTAAATAATCATATATACACAAGTGAGGAAGACTGAGGTTCTAATGCGTATACAGCCTCATGGGTATGTACAGTATACATGGTACAGGGATGTATCCCTTGGGGGAACAGATTCAGAACATATTGGTACATAATGTTTTCATGAGCTTTTTTAAAGTCAGAGACTGATTTAGGAGTACATGTCAAATACTTAATGTCCAAAAGAAAGAAAAAAGAAAAAAATGGGTCAGAGAAAAAAACATCAAACATGTCAGCATGCTCTCCTCTTGAGTACAGGGAACTGACACACATGACATACATGCCTGCATATGCACAAAAGCACGAAGGAGTGTGCACACGTACAAGACACACATGAACCGAGTGACACTTGTAACTTAAGTTTATAGCCTGCAGAAGGATGTGCAACAGAGGAGGAGGGGAGGAGAGGAAAGTGGAAGGGAGGGAAAATTATTACCATCCCCTGCCGTCCCCGCTAATAAAAAGCATAACTTCAAACATGTTTCTGATGATGGTTAAAGCAGGAGGAAATTGATTTATTTGAAGATGTTTTAAAGTGAATTTTTCACAGGTTGAGCGAGGGTCTTTGAAGCCATGCGGATGTGTGTGCGTATGTGAACAGCTGTGTGTGTGTAGGATGGAATGTTCATGTCTTTAGGGCTGACCTTAATGTTAGTACAGTAAAAAAAAGCAAAAAGTACTGCCGCTATCAGCCGCCAAATGCTCTCATGACCACCGCAGGGGGTGTGTGTGTGAATTTGTGAGTATGTGTGATATTATAGCTAACCTACTTTAGTCAATACAAGCTTAAGCTTCTGACACCTGCTGTGAGTCCTCCTGTGACATGCAAAGCAAAGCTTCTGATCTGATTTACTAAGTGTGAAAATGAGGAAGGGTTGGATTAGCTTCACATACGGAAACATTTTAATCAAATGCAGATTAATTTACAGCTTTTTTGCTGTATGTTTTCGACGGTGGATAGAGTGTGTGGGCCAACTAAACTATTCTAAGATTTATTTAATGCAAAAGTGTCAAACGTGCTGAATTGTGCTTCTGCAGACACGGATATCCATACAAGCCAGTTTGATTCATAAGGTTGATCTCCAAATGCAGAACAACAAATAATAAAAATGCTATTAACTCTAAGATAAATACGTAAAGTAAATCTAACTGGAAAAACTACCAGTACTATGTTAATTTTTAATCTTCATACCATAAGTTTCGTTTTAGGGTAGTGTAAGTATATCAAATAATTTTTGAGAGCCACATATGCTCTGTGGAGTATGTGCTTGAGTCATTTATTAATGTATTCTTACAATAATCTTACCTGTTCGTAGAATTTGTTGTGAGCCACGTAGTATTGGGCATCAAATGACTCCTCGGTCACCAACACATGTTGCCTCTCCCCTACCTGCACAGAGTGAGAGAGACAGATAGAGTGAATAATTATGGAGCTGTATTTGCTCAGACAAACATCAACCAAGTTTACTAATGAAACATCAGCCTTTCATGAAGCATTTGTACGAATGTGTTTTCACTGAACATAAGAAAAACAACAAGATTAATATCCCTGGTAATCATTTAGGACCCCCCTTCTTTATCTCTTTTCTATCTCTGCATCTCTTTCTGATTGGTTCACTCTGATTATAAAGCGACTTTGGTCTTTTTTCTTTCTTGCCATTGATGTGCTATTGAATCAGAAAAGGTACATATATTCACTTAGAAAACACAGAGTGATCAATTTGTATTTCTGTCTTATTTGTAGGATGTAGAATTTTTTAGGTATTCCTGACCAGAAAAAAAGGAAACATGCTGTAAACAATGTATTTCCATATTGGAACCCCTCTTAGACCTAAAATGTGTGCTACCACCCCTTTACCTGTTACTTTACTACAGGATTGCTGGAAATTTTAACTGACAGAACCACACCATTAAAGGTGCCAAATGTCAGAGCATATTGAAACAGACACTAATTTCATCTGCTGACACATCTACTGAAGTCATTTGAACATACAGAAACACTTTTTATATCCTATCTTTTTGTTTATGTACAGTCATGAATACCATCTGTACATATGCAAGCATTGGCAATGAGTTTACCGCTTTATATAGTGTACAAGGGCTATGTATCTTTGTCAGTTTAAATTCAACACAAGCACTGACACTCTGCTGTACAATATGCTTCTATTCATCAGGGTCCCAATTCAATCCAAGTTTTGTGCTTTCATGTTTTCTGTCAGTGCAGTTCACCATTTAATTACAATCTCAAGGTTCCTGAGCCACTTCAGTTTTAGCGCTTTAGTTGAGAGGATAGTAAATACTATTAAACTCCTAAAGGGCCTTACAAAAAAGAAAACTGAATAAAAGAAAAAAAAACACAAGGCTATATACAGGATAGAATTCAAATGGTTACAGAAAACAGTCTATTCAGGACATCAGAAAATCAAATACCACAACAAAGTCTCCCAATTAAGACATTTATTACAAGACATAATGATAGAAAATACATTTTTTGTTGAAGAATGTTGTTGACTTAAAGAAGGCAAGGGATGAGAACTTGAAAATTACTGCAGGAATGAATAAAATTGCCTTATGATTGACTTAGATAGAAAGGGAGATATCTTGTCTCACTTGTCCTCCATGCAAGTATCCTGGCAATCCAGTTTTGACAAATATTGGACTGTGTTTTATAGATGGATCCACATTTATTTCATTTTACATTGTTGTGGATGTACAAAGTCAATACTTTGTTGTTTGTGTGGCCTAATACTTCTCCTGAAGTCTCCTGATTGATGTACAATTCATCTTGGGTATATTTAGTACATTAATGTCAGAAAACCCTACATAAGACACATTTATTTTTGCCATGGCATCCTGGTTTATAAAAACATGCCAATGATCTTATCATTAAGGAACAAGCACAGAAAGTTTACATCCCAGCCAGAAATTCAGGAAACAGTGCCGCAGAGCATATAACAACTTGTTTTTTAAAAATCAGCAACATATAGCTAAAATGTTGGGAACAGAGTGTCCTGTAGGCTCAATGGACAGTATTTGCATTTTAACTCTGTCAGTGATGAGCTATGTAATGTAAAACTGTGCTGACTGATCATTTCCTTAGCAATGTGTCAGAGCCTTAGAAGTCATGGCTCTGACACATTTGCTCAGGGTGTTTCCATTTTTGCAGACACCCATTTTCTGTGCTCTTTTCTTCCTTCATTCCCATCCTTAGCCTTTTGCCTCCCTCTCTCCTGTCTCTGGGCATTTTCTTTGTTGTTCATACCTCTCTTCCTATCACTATAAGTCCCTCTCATCCTTCTCTCCTTTCTTTTTTTCCCCACTGATTTCACTGTGTGTGTGTGTGTGTGTGTGTGTGTGTGTGTGTGTGTCCCAATGCAGACAGCACCTGCATAGGCATGCTGACAGCCTTAAAAAGAGACCAAATAAATCACTGTTTCCTGCAAACAGAGCAATTTTCAGAAAAAGAGTGTGGAAAAAATATCCTTTGAACATTATTACTGGATGGCAAACATTTGATTTGGACTTTTGTTTGCTCCTTTAGACTGAAGACAGATGTCTTTGCTGTGAGCAAATGAAAAAAAGTATACTATGTTCACAGTGATATACTTATATTTAAAGAAAAAAATGTTAATGGTAGAGAACTCATCAATTAACATTTTAGCATTCTGTTAACCATCAACTACTATTTTACCTGTGAACTATGATTCGTTTTAAGTTGTTCTCATTTTCCCTACAGTGACAGATGTGTCACTTTGGAGTTGGAAAACCCAAAACATTTTTCACAGATTATTCAATCCAGTTCTATAGCAAACATGCAGAGCCTTTGGAAACATGATGGTCCTGGGTCATTTAGCTCTGTGCAAGACAGAGGTCAACCTTACCAAAGCCTCTTTATTCTAAGATCAACATTAGCTGTCAGTAATGTAGCAGCTACTCTTCCTAGGGTCCACACAACAAAACATATAAAACAAGACCCACAGTATAATGCGTGTAAAAAATCTCAATGAAACATATTCTGAGCAACTGACCAGACTGCTGAGCAGTATTCAAGGTGAGATACAACTAGTGTCTGTGTCACTAGTGCTCTAGAGGGTAGGGGTAAGAAAAGAAGAACATCTGATAATGCATGATATCCTACTGCCCATTTTCCTTATATTTTCAAAATGTTTCTCCCATGATAGCTTCTCACTGAGCGTGACACCAAGAAAATATTCTTCTTGAGCCTGTTCAATATTCAAGTCTTTCAGTGATTATTATTATTTGTAGCGCTGCTTGCCCTGAACATAATACTTTTGTTCCATTTAAAACAGGGCCGTTTTCACATATAGTTGATACAAAATGTATAGTTGTATCATCTGCAAAAAGACAAGCACTGCACTTATCCAAATCATAAGGCCGGTCATTAGTAAATATTGAAAGGAATAATGGCCAAAGGCAAATCACTTGGGGCAAGCTGCACTGAAAGTATTTAGGGAGGGAAAACTACCATTAAAAACCCAGACTGCATCCTACTGGACCAATAGCTATTCATCCAATTTGTCATCCAATTTGTCCTGCAGCAATGAACCCATATGTGGATCGTCATTCAGAGTTGCTTTGTTTGTATTTCTATTGTGACCCACAATAATGTAGCAGTTATTTTTTTCCAAATCCACTTACTCTGGCATCAGATGTGCTTGTTTGCTTGCAAGGCTCACCCAAACCCATATTGCTGTGGCGTAGGCCAAAACCAATCCTTCAATCTTCTGATTATAAAAAACATCCAAAATGTTTAACTGTGAAGTAGTAGGTTGATTCAAGCACACTACCAATGTCATACAAAGTGATCTTTATATCTCTGCCAAAAATTAAGGCAGTCCAAAGCTTGTGGTGTAAACAGGCCTCCCCGGTACTTTGAGATTGCAGTCCAGGTACAGTCAGCTGATACGACCCCTATACTAGTGGCAGCAGCTCATTAGCAGTTAGCACATGCAGCAACGCTGTGGGACGAGAGAAAAGGTTTGTGCTGTAACAATCGTCCTGGTGACAAGGCGCAGGTGAAAAGTGCATCGACTAAGACTCTCCTCGTTAACTAACAATTTACTCAACTACTAGGGAGAAGCCCTACCAGGAATCGATAAATATTCTCTTCATATATCTCAAACAGCACTGTGGTGGTTTGATTTAGTTTTCAGTCTTACACTGGACCAGAGGAGAGATGTACTGGAAATGCTGAACGATAGATGTGTATGATGTGAATTTGTTTGGATCTGCCTGCCTTAATTTCCAATCCACACCTCAATAACCAGTGAGAGCAATGATCTGGGATTAAAGTATATCCTACCATGTTGATTGAATTGTGAATAAGAGGATGATCGTGCATGAACAGTATAGACAATGCCACATATGAGAATGTAGTGAATTCATTTAATTAAAATTTGATGAGCTACACACAACTCGGTGCAAAACACCATGAGCTGTAAGTATTTGTATGCAGTATATGTTTTCGCCTTTGCTCAAGTAACTTTGCTGGCATATCTGCGTATGTGAGAGTCTGAATTTCAATTTGTATTTACACCATCTGTTAGAAAACGCCACAGAATACCTAATAACAGGCATGTATGTGCATATCCTTTCGCAGTGAGATGTGTATTTACTTCACTATCCCGAGAATAACATCCCATGATACACAGCAGATCCACTACAGATTTACGGGATCATGAGTTTAATTGCTAATTAATCCACATCATAACAAGGATAATGAGAGAACTGTGGCTTTGAATTGTAATCAACATTTTCATCTGTGTCACAAATAAAAGAGCAATTCACTCGAATATCATCCAAAATCTCTCGCTGCATCTGTGGCCTTTTTAACCATGCAACTGGATTATGTTTCTAACCAGACTGAAAAGAAGCCAGATTGTTGCATTGGATTAATTATAATGAGCTGATAGCAGCATCAAGCAAAAAAAAACACCCCAACAACAAATAAAGAGTAAAAATAGGCTGATTATACACCTGTTCAAGTGCCAATGTGACAATACTTAACAAAATAGACAGTAAAAGGGGTATGTAATGTGTAGAAAAGTCACATTCAGTCTGATTGTCCTTTAGCAGGATTATTGTTATTACAAGGGCCACCACATTTAAATCCACCCAGGCTCTTTTTGCACCTGGCAGGCATCAACATGCATCTTGGATGATCCGATCACAAGTGGACAGCTCTAAGTAGAAGTGTAAATGCACCTAAGACGCATTGAGGACACGTTGAGATGTGTATTGTTTTTCCATTGTATGTCTGGTCTCATTTGTGGTCCAATAAACAGTAAATTCATCAAACTCAGGTTAAAAACAACATTTTGTCTCTGCATATGGAAATGATGTACGTGTTTATTTGCATACAGACGAGAA